TTAGCATCAATGTTCATCAGAGAAATAGGTCTGTAGTTTTCCTTCTCTGATGGTTCTCTGTCCGGTTTTGGGATTAAGGTGATGTTGGCTTCATAGAATGAGTTTGGGAGGGTTGCTTCCTCCTCTATTGTTTTCAAGAGCTTGTAGAGGATTGGGGTTAGTTCTGTTCGGAATGTTTTGTAGAATTCTGTAGTGAAGCCGTCTGGGCCTGGGCTTTTTTTCGTTGGGAGATCCTTGATGACTGTTTCAATCTCTACCTCGGTTATGGGTTTATTTAATTCTGCAGTTGCCTCCGGACTGAGTTTTGGTAAGTGGTGGGAGTCCAAGAACTTTTCTATTTCTTGGTGGTCCTCAAATTTGTGGGAGTACAGTTCTTTGTAGTAATTTCTAATTATTTTCTTAATGATTGCAGTGTCTGTTGTTATGTTGCCTTTTTCATCTTTAATGCTATTGATTCTCACTTTCTCTTGTTTTTTTTTGGTCAATCGGGCCAGTGGAGTGTCTATTTTGTTTATTTTCTCAAAAAACCAACTTTTTGATTTGTTGATTTTATGTATAGTTTTTTTGATTTCTATTTGGTTTATCTCCTCCCTTGTTTTGATGATTTCTTGTTTCCTATTGTGCGTGGGACTCTTCTGCTGCTGTTTTTCCAGATCCTGGAGGTGTGAGGTTAGTTCCTGTATTTGGCGTCTTTCTTGGGCCTTGACATGCGCTCCGATTGCGATGAATCTACCTCGTAGCACTGCTTTTGCAGTGTCCCACAAGTTTTGGAATGTTGTATCAGAGTTTTCATTGGTTTCCATAAATTTTTTGATCTCATCTTTAATTTCTTCTCTGACCCATTGTTCGTTTAATAGCATATTGTTCAATTTCCAAGAATGCCTATACTTCCTGGGGAGTTTTGAGTTGTTGATTTCCAGTTTCATCCCATGGTGGTCTGAGAGGGTACATGGTATGATACTAATGTTTTGGAAGTTGTTTAGATTCGCTTTATGTCCTATCATGTGGTCGATTCTGGAGAAGGTGCCATGCACCGCTGAGAAGAATGTATAGTCTGTGGCCTTAGGATAAAAAGTTCTATATATGTCTACTAAGTCCAGTTGTTCTATTGTTTGTGTGAGCTCTGTTGTTTCTTTGTTGAGTTTTTGTTTCGTAGACCGGTCCATTGTTGTTAGAGGTGTGTTGAGATCACCTACAAGAATTGTGCGGGTATCTATGTCTTCCCTTAAGTCTGTAAGTAATTGCTTTACGTAAGTAGGTGCATTAAGATTCGGTGCATAAACATTAATGATGGTGATTGCTTCTTGATGGATCATTCCTTTCACCAGTATAAAATGGCCTTCCCTGTCTCTTTTGATGTTAGTTAGAATGAAATCTATCTCGTCTGAAATTAGGATAGCTACCCCAGCTTTTTTTTCTCGTCTATTGGCGTGAAATATCTTTTTCCATCCCTTCACTTTCAGTTTCTTTGCATCCTTTCTGGTTAGATGCGTTTCTTGTAGGCAACAGATGGTTGGGTCTTGTTTGATGATCCATTCTATTAATCTCTGTCTTTTGATTGGTGAATTTAGACCATTTGTGTTGAGAGTTAAAATTGAGAGGTTGCAATTTTGCCCTGCCATGTGATTGTGTTGTGTGTGTGTTGTTGTCTATGTAATTGTCTTGTTTGTGCGGCCTTTAGTTTGGAGACCTTCTTATTTGCCAACTTTGCTTGTGATTTGCCTCCTTTTTGTCCGGGACTAGCGCATTTCTAAGGAGACTTTGCAGAGCTGGTTTTGTGTAGACATATTCTTCTAGTTTTTCTTTGCTATTGAAGTATCTGATTTCGTTCTCATATACAAATGAGATCTTTGCTGGGTAGATTATTTTTGGTTGACAGTTGTTTTGTTTCAGGACTTGGAAGATCTTTGTCCATTCTCTCCTTGCTTGTAGGGTCTCTTCGGAGAAGTCAGCAGTGATTCTGATGGGTTTTCCCCTGTATGTGATCTTTTCTCTACTTCGTACTTGTCACAGGATTCCTTCTTTGTCTTCATTGGAGTAGAACTTGAGCACCGTGTGTCTGGGTGAAGATCTCTTTGGGTCATGTCTGTTGGGAGTTCTCTGTCCATCCTGTATGCGGGGTGGATTCGTGTTCCAAGTGTTTTGGAAGTTTTCCTGTATAATTTCGTCAAGCACTGCTTGCATCCCAGATTCTCTTTCTACTCCCTCGGGGAGGCCGATGATCCGAATATTCAATTTTCTAAGGTAATCCTTCATCTCTTGCATCATTTTATTAGTTTTGCTGAGGTTTGTCTCCAGCTGTTTAATTCGCTGGGCACCTTCATTTTGTGTGTCTTCTGTTTCAGAGATCCTTTCCTCTGCCGCATTTATTCTGTTGATGAGGCTTTCAATTTTATTATCTTGGGCATCCAGTTTGGTTTTGATTTGTTGTATTTCGGTGATTATGCGGTTCTGGAGGTCTTCCAGCTTTGTGTCCAAGTCTCTGAGAAATTTTAGCATTATTTTCATCAATTCCTTTGCTGGTAACTCTTCCATGTCTTCATCTCGCATCGCCGTTATTGATAATGGCTTTTGGCCCTTGTTTGGTGGGGTGCTGGCTCTTTCATCTGGAGCACAACTCTTTCTGGTGGTTTTTCCCATTGCGTTGGTGTATTCTGGTGGGGCAAATGGACCCGTGTGTTGAGGGGCTGTCAGGTGCTTTCCTGTAGAGATTGGAGCCTGCAGGCGTGGTGTTGCCGGGCGTGGTAATTTTTAAGGCACCGTTGGTGCGTTCTCAGGGCCCGGGGCTGAAGAGCACCACCTTGGGGGCCCAGTGGATTCCAGGCACACTCTGGGCACCTCTTCTACAGGTGTGACACCCCAGGGCGTGGAGGGATGGAGGCGCTCTCTGGGTGTGCCCCCTGCACGGGAATCCACATGGCATAGAAGGTTTTATGTGCTTTCTCCCTGCGTTCTCTGAGTCAGGGACTGCAGGGTTTTTCAGAGCCCACCTGGTGCGTCTCCCACACACGGGACTGTGGGTGAGGCACTTTCCAGGCGTGGCTCTTGTGCAGTGATTCCACCACTCGTGGTGTGTGGGTGTTCAGAGCCCCTGCTCCCGTGTGGCTCCCCCACACAGGCCCTTAGCGGAGGAGTGGCCCAGGCACCCTGTTATAATGACTTCACGGCAGGTTCGCACCGTGTCAGTGTGGTGCAGGAGTTTTTAGAGCTCTCCTGGTGGGTCGCCCACGCTTAGAACTGCAGGGTGGGAGGCGAGGAGTGAGCAGTTCACACTATGGGAGTGGTACCTGCGTGTCAGGGACACACAGCGCTACACTTCCCAAAGCTCAGAGCCCTCCTGACACCTGACACCTGCGCTGCGGAGGTGCTGCTGCTGCAGGCGGGGCCGCCCAGCCCGCCCGGCGCAGCGTTCAGAGTCCTCCTGGTGTTCTTGCGCACCCACCAGGTAGGGTGTGAGGGATTCCAGACCCTCGCCAGCAGCCTCTGCGCACTGAGATGCACTGGCCCCCTCAGCGCAGGAATATCTGATGCGCTTTCCTGGGGCCTTCTCAGCCACCAATACCACTGTGCGTAGTTCCCAAGGCACAGACCTGACAGTTTCAGGTTGCTTGCCCTGTGTTCTCAGAGGCTGGAATCTCAGCAGGGGGTGAGGAATGCGGAGGCTGTTATGTTAATCCCTAACTTACCAAAGGTCCAGCTGCTGCAGTCTGCCTCTGCTGCTGTTGAAGGCCTCCACCGGCGACGATCCCGATTTCCCTGTCTCGGAGCTGGCTGCGTCTCCCGTCAGGCCGTTTTCAAAAGTGACTCAGCAGGTCTGGAGTGGGATGTCGGTTTCTCTACCTTTGCCCTGCTCCGTTCTCGTTGTTCTTCCGAGTTGTGTGGATCTTTTTGGCTCCACACTGTCCCAGGGAGCTTCACGGACCTCTCCCTGCAGTTCCCTGCTGTTCCTCTTTGCTGCTTCTGTAGCGTTCTATCCCTCTCTCACTGGACGCTCCCTCACAGCCTTCCTCCTACGTCGGCCATCTGTGCAACTACAGACCACAAACAGACTGGCTATTTATCAGGTGCGCTTCAGTCTTCAGAGTCTCACAGGACAATTGTCAACACTTCTTTTTGTGTAGCTCCTCGCGCTCTTTAATCTTCTTTCCTCAACTCCTAAACTTCCCCCCGCCCCTCGACAATTTTTAAAATAAAATAACTACAAAAGTAATCTTAACACATGGGTTTTAGTTGAATCCTTTCAAAAGCTAAAAAATTTATCAAATTTTGAAACGTGATTATGCATTGAGTTTCAGATGATGTTTATGAATTATTAATATTGTTGAGAACTGATGGTATGTTGTAAATGAAAATTTCTTTATACATAATATTGAACTATAAAGAGTAGCCAGCAAAATATCTGTATTTACCTTAAAATAGTTCAGCAAAATAACCAATTAATACATATAGCAAAATGTTAACAACTATGAAAGCTAGAGAACAGGTATATAGTTGTATATAACCATATTCTTCATTTTTCTAAACATTGTTTAAACTCTTTTCAACATAAAAGATCATTTTTTCCATTTGTACTATTATAAAATTAAGTGTTCATTTTCAGCTTTAAAGCAACTGTTCTTCAGTATTTGGCATCATGCTGTTTTTTATTTAAAGTCATCCATCTGTTCTTCACTGTATTACACTTACTGACACATGGAAATGGGGTTATATCATATTAACAATCAGAAGTCAATCATTGTGATTACTCTGAAAGGCCAACAGGAACAGGTAGAAAATTGGTTCCTGTTTGGAGGGCTTGGGTCAGGGCCTCACATGTCCAAGAACGTCATCAGTCTCTATCAAGTTTCTTAATCAAATTTACCGAGAATCCTGAGTGTCACCATGTTCAGGAAGAAATGCACAATAGATTACTGTTGACCTCATCAAGCTACAACTATTCTTTCTTTGTCTTCAAAAGTAAATTCTGAGACAATTTGACCTTATCTTAAACCCAATTGATTTCCCACCTCCAAAAAGTTCAACTAGAGAGTTATAAAACCTGAAAATCCTCTTGTTCTTTCTCTGTCTTTGCTCCTGGTTGCCACTCTGGAGAGATCAGCAGAGGAGGGCAGGTGGATTGAGCCTCCTTGAGAGATCCATCCCACCCCGGCTGTGAGTATTTGAGATATATTCTAATGTAAACCAAGTGGTTTAGGAGTTATGCGACACTCACGTTAGTGATTGATAGTTGTTCTAATACAGTTTTCTCTACTTTTCTTGTTTACTATGGATAGTAATTCAAAAATGATAAAGCCTCATTCTTTACTCTCAGAGTTTAGAAAAAGGACATTAAATGACAAAATCTTTACTAGAAAGCAGTTTGGGGATGAGACCATTTGCTTAAATGATAGATTCATAAAACTGAGATAAGGAGGATGTTATTTGCTTAAAATAGCATCAAGGAAAATCTATACATTTAGTAAGTATTAGTACAATGGTTCACCAATCAGCAGGACTTGTGAATTCTTATTGTCAAAAATCCCTGAGATTTTGCTTTTCTTACTCCATCTTTTATATCAGTAGAAAATGCTCATGTTGTAAACCAGTTATGACAAGAATAATTCTCAAATCTCCTCCATTACTTTCTGTCTGAAAACAAAATTTGTTTTAGGCCTAAAGCCTCATTTTACCTTATCATAATGAGTGAAATGTGTAATTTTCACAAATCACTGGTCTGTTTTAAACTATACTTTCTAGCAAAGTCAGTCATTTCCCCAAGTACATTCTCCCCCACAATATTGTTCCTAACAGAAACTACATTCTCATTACAGGAGTCAGCGGAAAGATGAAAACTCTGCCACTGCTTGTGTTCATCAGCACCCTGAGCGCTTATGTCTCGGTAAGTACCACCAATCCTCTGTAGCCTTACAGATAAGCAACCTTTACTGTGCAAAACTAATGGAGACTCTCAAAGCAAGGCTGCACACACCTCTCTCCAAGAAGCCTGCCACTCTGTTATCTGTGAAACATAAGACAGTAGGTAATCAGAACACATAATTCCGTCCATTTCATCATGATCTACAGAGTGCTAGCTTGAAGACTGCCAGATAAGCAGAAGGCAGAGCTTGTAGGGTCTTCAAACCTGGATGTGGAACATGAATTCAATTACAAGTATGTCAGGAAACCTCAGCATGATCCAAGTGTCCCCGGGTGACTGACATGACTGTGGATTCTGGGGAGAAAGCAGACAGCAAATGGCAAAAGTTGAGATAAAGAGAACAGGTAGGAGCCCATGACAGTGGTCCAGTCTGGCCTCTCGCTCCTCAAACAATGCTGAGGCATATATTCTGCAGTCAGATAAGGATCTCTGTTAAACACCAGTGTTCTTCAGGACATTCGTGGAAAGATCAAATTAGAAAATAAACTTGAATTTTAGATATTTGTTATTTTTTAAAGTAACATTTTTAATTTGCATTGTCATCAAAGACTTATTGGCTCTACCAAATAAATAATTCAACACTACAAAGTTAAAAGAAAATGTGGCACTGGTGATACAGATGGTTGAAAAAAACGGTGCTCCACCTCACAATGAAGTTGTTTTGGTGCAAATTTCTTTAAACTATGCACAATTGTTTCATAACACATATTTTCCATGCAGTTTGTGTCAAAATAAAATGTTATTTTAGCTCCATTTAACATGAGCTTTTGGGACACTCTTGTATAACATTATTTAAGATGCTGCTGCCTTCCTCTTTAGAAAAAGATTCCAGGTTTTCCCATGATCATAAAAAATAGACTACTAAATTCAACTTCAGGAATATAACATGCTCCTCATTTCAAGAAATTCTGAGCATACACTCTCCTAGTTCTGTCCTTTCTAGACTCTTTGTACCTAGTTTTGTGTCCCTCTTCCTTAGAGAAATCGGGCAGTCCCTTAGTTGTCTGAGCAATCTTTTGCTTCTTCCTTCCATTTTCTTACTCCAGGAGTCACATTCTCTCTCCTCTCTTCCCTCCCGTAACTCCATCCCACTCTGTTCTGGGGCCTCATGTCTGTTTGCTCAACTCTCCTTTCCACTTTGACCTAATGATGAAGACACCGTTTAGAGGAACCAGAGAAAAGGCTCCACAGCCAAATCCTCCCTTTACAAGAGCCAGGATCCAATATAGACACCGGCTGTTGCAGCCATTTGGGGAGTGAATCATCAGATTGAAGACATTTTTCTCTCTCTCTCTCCTTCTCTCCATATATCTGATCTGCCTTTCCAACAAAAATAAGTAGATCTTAAAAAAAAAAAAACATTGAGCATGCCCACACCTCATAGTGGTGTACCTAGGTTCAAACACAAGCTCTGCTCCCAGTTCCAGCTTCTTGCTAACACACAGCCTGGGAGGCAGCAGGGTGGCTCCTAAAGTCTGTTCCCTACCATCCAGTCATAGATTCCTGGCCCTTAGCTCCAGCTTAGGTCACCCACAGCTATTGCAGCATTCGAGGTATGAACCAGCAAACGTCTGTCTCTCTCTGCCTTTCAAATAAATTAATTAATTTTTAATATACAAATATGATTTGCATATGGAGACATATTTTCCAAAAAAAACATCAAGTAGCCTTTCTGGAATTCCATTTTCTCAAAAATGAGGATGAAAATTATATTTACCTTTTGGTGATACTGAGCATTTTTTTAGTTGTATTTGTAAACTCCTTATAAAAGACTAGTGTACCTTGCTAGTCTGTGACCGAGTGTTTCACGTGTCATGCTTTTTCTTCACAGCATCTCAGGAACCACCTGCCAAAAAGTTGACTGAGCTGATGGTGCGTGAGGCCCTAATCCTGCCATAAAAGAGCAGTTCTGTGATGATCTGGATACAGTTTCAGTCCCTAGGGAAAGATTTGTTGAAACATGATGATCTACTTATTTTCTAAGGAAACAATTGCTCTCTGTGTAGAAGAGCCCCAGAATGCTTCCTGTTATGAATTCTGGAAATCTGTGCTTTTAAAGGTTTGATTGATTATTTGCAAAAGCAGAGAGAGAACCTCCTATCCCTGGTTTCACTCAGCAGGTACACCTAAGCTGCAGCGCTGGGGAAGGCCAAAGTCAAGAAAAAGAGAATCCATCCACTCTCCCAGGGGTGTCAGGGATCATCTTTGCAAAAACTTCAAAGTTCTGACGAAGTCATTATTTTAGTCAACCCCCAGAAATTCAAATTTTCCAAATAAGCTTTTTTTTCAACAATAGAGCTTTCCAAATATATATATTTGTAGTTAGGCATAGGGAAATAATCTTAGCTAAACAATTCTGCTGAGTTACTGAGAAGGAGTTACTTTACTGGCACTATATTCCTTCACCAAAAAAAAAAAAAGCTTTATAGTGTTGAACATGAATGATTGCTGCACCTAATGTCCTAAATGGATTTATGTAGAAATGATCAAAAAGGAAAATGTAACCTGTCTTTGTTTAGGACTTTGGAATTTTCCCTTTACCCTTATATCTATATCTATAGATAGATAGATAGATAGATAGATAGATAGATAGATAGATATCGATATAAATATTGTCCAACATACAAATTTCAGTATGAGATGTAATAGAGAAAAGAAAACTGAAGCATGATAAGAAACTAAAACAGTGTTTGTACTCTAACTCCAATTCTGCTATTAATGCCTTAAAAAACAAAACAAGTGTTTCCATGTAAAAAACACAGATGGTGGGCCCGGAGCCGTGGCCTAATGGCTAGAGTCCTCACCTTGCATGAGCCAGGATCCCATATGTGTGCCAGTTCGTGTTTCAGCAGCCCCACTTGCCATCCAGCTCCCTGCTTGTGGCCAGTAGTCAAGGATGGCTCAAAGCCTTGGGACCCTGCACCCTTTCGGGAGATTCAGAAGAAGCTCTTGGCTCCTGGCTTTGGATCAGCTTAACTCCGGCCATTGCAACACTTGGGGAATGAATCAGCAAATGGAAGACCTTCCTCTCTGTCTCTCCTCCTCTCTGTATTTCTGATTTTCCAAAAAGATGAAAAAATCTTAAAAGAAAAAAAAAAGAATGCGGATAGTATAATGGATGAAAGAATAGAAATCTGAGTATTCAGTTAAGAACAGAAATTAAAAAAAAAAAATCCTCCAGTCAGTATGAGGAACTCCCTACCAATCTGTCTTAAAAGACGTGGCAGTGGGCTCCCGATCAGAAGAGAGGGTCAGACGAAGACTAGAAAGCTGCTCAGCTGCATTCTGGGGAAAGACCAAGGCTCAGCTACACAGCTGGACTAGATCCTGTTCTTTAGAGTGTGAACGCCTTCGAGAAGCCAAGATAGCAACCACCCCTCCACTCAGACAAAATACATAAACATTACAGTGTCAGGTGAGTCCTGGGAGCTGTAATTCTAACTTGTTAATGATGAAGGTTCAAAAGCAATCGCTACATTTTTATTGTTTAATTTATAAAACTAAAATCTGTATGTGTGAGATATGGAGCGGGGAAAGACCATGTAAGCTATTTCAATTACTTGGAGAATTGGTTCTTAAGGGTCTTGACGTTGTCGGATTGATTTGGTTTGGTTTGGGTTTCTGTGATGCAAATGAGGAAACTGAGACACAGAACGGGTCCCTGGACTTTGGTTGCGTGTCTTCAACTTAAGTTTCTTGAACAGTGGACAGCCAGCAGAGAGCCCTTCCACTGAAGCAGGCTTAACCATTTTCTTTTCTTTTCTTTTCTTTTCTTTTCTTTAAGATTTATTTATTTATTTTTACAAAGTCAGATATACAGAGAGGAGGAGAGACAGAGAGGAAGATCTTCCGTTCAATGATTCACTCCCCAAGGGAGCGCAGCGCCCATATGGGATCCCCGTGCGTTTAAGGCGGGGACTTTAGCCGCTAGGCTACACTGCCGGGCCCAACCCTTTTCTAACAGAGACATGCAGCAAACACAGCAGTCCAGATCTGGACTGTCACCCAGGCAAGGGCTCCCAGAAATGTGTGCATCCCAGCTTATTGTATGGCTGATTATAACAAAATTCTCTGACGGCAGTTCTTTCTTGATATTTGATTATACTGGGAAGATAATCACTTGGCCACTGCAACATGGTTTCCATGGCTTCACAAATACTGCTGATCCCATAGTCAGGAAAAAAAAATGACTTAAGTTTTTTTTCATGTTCTCTCTTTCTACAGCTCAGTGAAGGTCAAAGACCAAACCACCAACTATATTTCAGCAGGAACTATTTCAATCGTGATCCTCGACTCAGACCCCACAATTTACCACCTCGTTCTAGATTACCATTTGTCTGGCAAAATTACATTAGGAATTATCGCAATAATCAGCACTATTCACACTGTAAGAATAAGTATTTCTGTAGGCCACATAAGGCTCCAGGCGAAAATAAGCCCACAGACAATCCAGAGTCTACCCCGCAAACCCCATCTACTGCTTCCACATCTACAACCACTCCAGACATTCCCTCTACCACTCCAAGTGTTCCCACTACAGTGGTAACAACAACTACAGCTGCCACCACAAGCTCTCCTGAAACTACATCAACACCACAACCTACGGAGACAACAGTAACTACAACTGCCCCACCCCCCACAACTTCCCCAACTACAACCACAACTGCCACAACTATATCCCTCACATCCACACCCACATCTCCCCCATCTACACCCACAACTGCTGCAACCACAACACCAGAATCTTCTCCCAGTACACCAGAGTCCACAGGTACCACTACTGGTGCAACCACTTCCCCAAATGAAACTACAGACGAACCCGAAGAACCTCCTGAGGACGATTTGCTTTACTTCCTAAATAGAGCGCTCGAGTTACTTTTTAATTTTCTAAGAGGGTAAAGAATTTTGCTGCATTTGCTAGAGCATTGCTACCTAATATTTTGTGAAGCACATTAAAGGTAATGTAATGAGTGAAAACAAGATCTAGTGGCCAAGCGCAAATCAAGATTATGGCCTAAAATTGTTGAGAGCATGTAATTGTTTAAGCTCCATGATTGCCATTTATTGTATCGCTTTTACGGTCATGTAAATCTGATGTACTTAATTTGAACCTGTATCTTAAAAGGACTTTCTTTGTGTGCTCACGTGGTAGTCAGAATATTTTTATTCAATTCATCTGTATGAATTTAATGCAAAATACATTCAATAATAGATTATTTTCTAAACCCATATTCAGTCATTGGAATGCATTGTTCTAATTTTAGATTTGAAAAACATGTCTCTGAAAATAAACCCTGACTTGGTTAGTGGAATATTTAAACTGAACTAGCTGATGTGTGGATATACAATTAATTTTAGATAAAGTGTGTTTTTATTCTTTTGTCATGTCAAGTAAGAACTCCAATGATTTTACTTAGATTGCTTTGCTAACAAATAAAAGCGTTCAGTGGCATTCTATCATCGTTGTATTTATTTGAAAGTTTCTATCTTCCTTAGATTCTGAGGGGGAAAGAGGGATAAACCAGGACTGACATTCTTAGCAATTCTTAGGGCACAGGACACTTCTCAGCAACAGAGTTTTTCATCTTTCATACAAAGTGGTTCATTACTTTGCAAAACTGAACTTCAACTAGAAAAAATGTTCTCAATCAAAATTCTGTGTTTTTGCCCGTGGCTTATCATTATGACACACACTATACCCAAGCAGTACGAAAAAAAGAAGAAGAAAAGGGGATGAGAAGGACAATACTCCTTCATTGGAAATGAGATATTTGGGGGCCTGGCACAATATTCTAGTGGCTAAATTCTCGCCTTGTATGTGCTGGGATCCCATATGGGTGACAGTTCGTGTCCTGGCTGCTCCACTTCCCATCCAGCTCCCTGCTGGTGGCCTGGGAAAGCGGTAAAGGATGGCCCAAGGCCTTGGGACCCTGTAACTGCGTAGGAAACCCAGAAGAAGCTCCTGGCTCCTGACTTTGGATCAGCTCAGCTCCAGTTGTGGCCACTTGGGAACTGAACCAGCAATGGAAGATCTTTTTCTCTGTTTCTCTTCTCTGTAAATTTGACTTCCCAATAAAAATTAATTTAATTTAATTTTTAAAAAATGAAATATCTGGGAGCAGTGATTCCTAAGTGTAACAGGAGCTGCTGTTGCCAAGCTTGGCTAATAAAGATATCTCCTTCCATCTAAAACACACACACACACAATAAAAGAAAAAGAAATGAGATATTTTATTTACAAATTAATTTGTATTAACTTTTGGTGTATGACTGCTTTATCACTATAGAGAGAATATTAATACTATTTATTTTTACAAAAATAGTGTGATTGATTAACGAGGAAGCAAAATAAGAGAGAATTCTGTGCCTTGTTAACAAATACCTAGGAAGTTTTTGTAAGGAGATATATAGATCAACATTTTTCAGATTTTTAACAAGAATTTGAATTAACCTATTCCAAGTTGCACTTCAAAAGGCTCCATTTATTATTAAAAGAAAACAATGAATAAATTAAAATGCAGAGACATACTTCAACTTCTGGATCTGGAAGTATGAATGGTAATAATTTTTTAATAGATTTTTATTTTGAATTTTGAATTATGTGATACAATTTTGCATAGGCCAGGATTCACCCCCCAAATTCCCACCCCCGACAGATTTTTCCCATTTTACTACAATGGTGCAATCCTTCATAAGGAATCATAATTATGTCAGTCTCTTACAGTGTCAGACAGTCCAGCATCCCATTGTCTACACATGTCCAACAGTTTCATTGGGAATCCATCTTTCATTTGGAAGCAGGGATGCATGCTCCATTATACCCCATATCTGTATATGATAGACCCCAGAACTCCATCACTATACATTTCCATAATTGAGAAGTCATGAAACAAGGTCAGCAACCGGTATGAGTTACAAAAGCCACAACAACAACAACATCAACAACAAATTACAGCACCATGAAAAAAAAGTGCCACTGAGTAACCAACACATAAGCTTTAAGAAAAATTTTGGCTCTAATTCATCAGACTTCCATTAGAATTTGGGTGCCATTGAAGAAAGTAATGCAATGCTGCTAATGATATTTCCTTAAATCAAAGCTTAAACCTTCTAAGTCATGCATGCTTTATTTCTTAATAAACACCGTGAATATGCTTAAAGGAAGAAAAATGTACTCTGAAACACAATTTCCTATTTTTCCAAAATTGTCAAAGAAAAAAGTTATGCCTTAACCCATTAGTGCTACTGTACCAAAATATTTGAGACTGGATAATTTAAAAACAGAAGATGTATATTTTTCTTTTTTTTTAATTGTTAATAACACTGTATTATGTGATACAGTTTTATAGGTGCTTCCTCCCACAACCCTCCCCCCATGGTGCATAACCACAGTTCAAGTTCAGTTCAGATTCCTTCATTGCAAGCACATAAGATGTGTATTTTTCACAGTTGTAGATGCTGGGAAATCCAAGATCAGGCACCTGGAGGTTCTATGTCTGGGGAGGGCCTCATCATTGCTTCCAGGACGATGCCTTGAACACGGAAGCGTGAGCTAACATGGCAGAAGTCAGAAGTTGTACACAGAATGACTGATGTGTCTTCATGTAGCAAAAGACAAAGAGCCCTTTTCTCAAGCTTTTTACACCAATGCAAACCTGCCCAGGTTGGCAGAACCCTTATGACATCATTGACAATTAAAGGCCTACCACTTAATACTATTATATTGGCAATCAACATACTCAGTTCAACGAAAGCAGCTTACGTATTTTACTCAGCTGCATTCTATAAAGAGAAAAAAAGGGGAGAGGGGAACCTTAAAAGACCCCAAGTGAGGAATGAATCCTGAGGGACAATCAAAGGCAAAGCCACTGTACTTGCAGGTAAGCGAAGGGACTGAGAACTGGTGGTTTGGAGGGGGGAGACCTGAAGATCTTTATGGGTAAGACTGATGCACCAGCCAGCATGGGAGTCCTGGGTTGAGCTTGTTAGCATGGAACATGACTGACCACCACATGCCAGCGTAAATGCAAGCTATAGCTGGGGGCCTGTCTGGCAGGACTAGATCCCAGTACCTGACAGTGAGTGTCAGATCAGAGATTGGGTCACATCAAAATAGGCCATGACACCAACTAGCAAGCAAGAGAACCAGGTCTGGGGGTGGATTCTGTGGGGGACAAATGGGTCAAACCCTATGGAACTTCAAGTCCTGCTAGTTAGCTTGAGAGGATGATAATGGGCTGAGCTAGGTGTGACACTGGAACTCAGTGAGCTCACAGGTACTGGAGGTACAAGTGGGGCAGGTCAAGGCTGAAGCACCTGCATGAGCACCCTAAAACAGGGTGTTGGGCAGGCCAGCCTGCACCAGTTCATACTAAGGCCAGGAAGGATAGGACAGGCCATATTGGGTAAGGGCTAAGCACCCAGTGCTATGCTTGAGTTCTGGGTCTGGGAGTGACCCAAACAGGGGAACCTAGGAAACTCCCCTAGTGGGTCATAGCTTCCACTGATGAACAAGTGGTTCAAGCCTGGGTGTTAGGCAGGCTGGACAGGGTAGCTTCATCTGTTGGCAAGTATGTGAGTTGGTTTTGGAAGGGGCAAACCAGGCATGGCTGAGGAAATCTTAGCCTACTGGCAAGTGCAGAAGCCAGGCTGGAGCGCAGATCATGCTGAGCTAGGCTACCATACCTACTGGTTCATATGAACCAGGGATGGGAGCAGACCGAGCAGGGTCAGGTTCCAGCATCCACCAGTGAGAATTGGGACTGGGGATGGCTGGGCTAAGCCAGGATACAACTTCCGAAGGCAAGGGTCAAGACAGGGAAGGGACTGTGCCAAGCTGAGTCAGAGCAACCCCTGACATGTGTATGATCTGTAAATGGGAACAAGCCTGATTGGGGAGCTAAGGAGATGCTCTGTCTGGGATGTGGGTCCCACAAGTGAGTGCAGGAGTTGGATTAGGGGCTGTCATCTGGTCTGGACATGGCTGCAGTGTCCTTCAGCACAAGTGTGGACTAGGTCTTGGGTGTGCCAGACTGGGCTAGACTCCAGCACCAACAAATGATCATGAGAACCAGAATAGGTATAGGATGTACTGAGCTAAGTCTCTGCCCCTGCTGAGCCATATGTGGGCCGTGTCTGGGTGTGAACTAGGCGTGGCTGGGCTTTAGCACCCAACAGTAAGAACTGGAATGGGTGAGAACCAATCAGGAAAGGCCACTGTTCCTGCTAGGACAGGAAGTGAACTAAGCAGGGCTGGCCCATGGACCCACCAGTGTGCACGAGATTAGACATTGGGAGAAGCTTGGGAAATTGCTCTGTCAGGACACAGTCCCTGCAGGTGAGGGCAAGAACCAAGAAAGAGAGCAACCCAGACCAGGCAGGATTACAATACCACAGCACTACCTTTTGCACAGGTCAAGGGCAAGACAGGCAGGGCCAGTTTGTATTGCTGGCTGGTAAATCTGCAAGCCAGAACAGTGTGGATCATGCCAGGTTGGACCACAATACCAGTCAGTTCACATTAGGGAAGAGACTGGGGGCTGGCTGGGCTGGCTAGGCTGGAGTTCCCAACAGTGTGAGTTGGAATTGGGGGTTGACCAGGCATGACCAGGCTACAGCACCCACTAGCAGATGCCAAGGTGAGGTAGGCCATGACAGACCTGGCCACAGTGCCCAACAAGCACAGGCGAGATGCGGGAAAGAGCAGGCAAAAGAGCAGGTAGGGGGGCTGAAGGGAGCTCTCCGTTTGGACCATTATTCCACTGGTGAGCATGAGAGCTGGGATGGCGCAGACCAGGCCGGGCAGGGCTACAACACCTGTTGGTCTGCATGTAAGTTGAATTGTGGACAAGCCAGGCTAGGTGGACAGTACCTACTGGTACATGCATGAGCCAGAGTGGGTGTGAATTGATTGGGTTTTGCCACAACATCAGCAGGCAGATGCTGGCATGGGGCCGGGGGTGGGGCAGGGCAGCAAACTCTGTCGAGCTCAACTGCAGTACCACCTGGAAAATGCAAGATTCAGGAGTGAGAGTGAGTCCATTAGGGAAACAGGGGGCATCTCCCTCTTCAGTTGTCATTCCAATTGGTGAGCATGAGAACCAGGACTGGAGCAGGCATGGCTAGACAGAGAGTAGCACCTGCTGGCACATGTGTGAGCTAGAGAGTGGGGCTGATTGGGTTGATCTAAGCTTCAGTGCACATTGACACATATGAGAGCTGAATGGGATGTGGAACAGACTGGAGTAGTCTGCTATACATACTGGCAGGCATAGGAACCAGAGTAGGGGTGGGCCTGGCAGGGGTTATTACAGGTCACTCCTACTAGGCTACAGCTCCCACTGGTTTGCATGGGGGCCAAGTGTGCCGCAGGCAGAATCAGATTGGACTGTAGCACACATTCGTTTGCATAGAAGACAGGGTTGGAGGCAACTGACTCAGCAATTGCAACTAAC